TTTTTGAAACCCACCACTGTCTCGCAAGTACCATGGAGCGCTTTAAAGGTCATAATGCTGGCTGAGGGATTCTGGGAGTTGAAGTCCGCCGATCTTAAAGGAGCCAACTTTGAAAACTACCGGCCTAAGCTGTCCCAGTGGCCCCTTTTCCTGGTCTCACATCATGTCACAACCTCGCCAGCCCCCCCCTAAAACGGATTCTGATCCCCCCCCCCCACAAAGTCTCGTTAAATCAGAAATCCCAAATTGTGGGTCTTTCTCTCGTTCCCAATTGCTCCACAACCGAGATGCCCAACCTGGCATTTCTACAGTGGGCAAAGAGGGAAGGGCAGCCCGGGAGGAAAATGGCTCCTGCCACATTTCTCTGCCACGTTAAGCCCGGCAGAAGGGCCCCGGGGGTGCGATGGGCGCCGGATTAATAAGGGTCCCTGGATTTCTTCCGGCTGGCGGCACAAGGGGCACAGGCTTGGCGTTGATGGTTGGCACGTCGAGGGCGTTTTGGGAGCGTCTTCCGGGACCTGGTCCTGGCGCCAGAGCGGGGTATTCTGCATGGCAGGCTATAAGGCACCCAGCCCTCCTCGGGAGGAAAGGATTCTGGCCCAGAGAAGCAACTGGGATGATTTTCTGTGAGAAAGCAAAGAAGGGAAATTAGGAAGAAGTAGAGAGCAGAAGACACCAAAGGCCTGATGGTGTTAGCTAGTTTGGGAATGAAACGTCTGTGCAGAGAACATCAAGGGCCCCACAGTCCTCCTCCTCCTCTTCTCTGCAAACCCCACGCCCTTCTAGCACTGATGATGTTACCTAGTTGGGTCATGAAAGGTCTACAAGAAAACAGCCAGGCTCAGAGAACATCGAGGACCTCACAGTTCTCCTCCTCCTCCTCCGTTTCTCCTTCCTCCTCTTTCTCTCCTTCTCCTCTTCTTTCTTCTATCTTTTCCCTCCTCCCTTAGTTTTTTCCTTCATCTTCTTCTTCTTGCTCTTGTTCCTGTTTTACCTCCTCTTTCTCCTCTTTTCTTCTCCTCCTCCTCCCTCCTCTCCTTCTCCTCCCTTTTTTCCTTCCTCCTCTTTCTCTTCTCCTTTCTTCTTCTTCTATCTCCTCCCTTCTCCCTTCCTTTTTTCCTTCCTCCTCTTCCTCTTTTCTCCTGTTCCCCTTTTGCCTCCTCTTTCTCTCCTTCTCATCTTCTTTCTTCTTCTCCTCTCTCCTCCCTTCATCCTCTCCCCCTTCTCCTTCTTTTCCTACCTTTTCTCTTTCTCTCCTTTTTCTCTTCTTTCTTCTCCTATCTCCTCCCTCCTCCCTTCTTTTTCTCCTTCATCCTCTTCCTCTTCTTTTTCCTGTCCCTCTTTTGCCTCCTCTCTCTCCTTTTCTTCTTTCTTCTTCTCCTCTCCTCCCTTCCTCCTCCTCTCCTCCTCCTCCCTTCTTTCTCCTTCCTCTTTCTCTCCTTCTCCTTTTCTTTCTTTTTCTATCTCCTCTTCTCCCTTTTTCCTTCTTCCTCTTCCTTTTCTTTCTCCTGTTCCTCTTTTCCTTCCTCTTTCTCTCCTCTTCTTTCTCCTCCTCCTCCCCTTCTTCCTCCTCTCCTCCATCTCCTCCCTTCTTTTCTCCTTCCTCTTTCTCTCTTTCTCTTCTTTCTTCTCCTCCTCCCTCCTTCTTTTCTCCTTACTCCTCCCCCCGCCTTTCCTCCAATTCCTACATCTCTGGAACATTCCTTCTAGCCCACCTCCAGCTCAAAACCTGGGTTCGGATTCTCCCCACCCGGAAATAATTGGCAGGAAAACCAGGAACGTACCTTCCGCGTGGAGTGGAGAGCCCCAATCTCCTTCGCCTCCATCTGTGGACCAAGGGCCAGTCCTAACATCGCGATGGACAGGGAGGTCCCTCCTAGGATGGAGCGGGGGCCACGGGGCCTCCTCGGGAAAACCCACCACCCGATTCTCGTAACCAGGTCCATGGGCAGCCTGGAAATAATGAGGGGGCGCCTGTGTAACAATACTTAGGGGTGTGCTGGCGTCACCCACACCTTGTGGGAAATAGGAGAAACTATAGGGGTGGAATCTTGGCCCCTGGTCAGTGAAGGGATAGAATTGGAGACCTGGCTCTAAAAAATGTACGGGTCCGTTATGGCCACCAGAACTATCTGGGACCCAAGAAGAACCTGCATTGGGTGGAGGGCGATGCTCCTGTCCACGTATGGGCGTCGCATCACAGCCAGCATGAAAAGGGTCCTCATGAGCATGACCGTCGTCGTAGTAGTGGGGTAGGCCCTGTTCTCCTCCAAAGGAAGGTATGGGCCAACTAACCTGGTCCAAGCAAAGTGGGGCGTGAAAATTAAAACTGGGACCGGGTTGAAGGCAATGTTCTTCTTCAGAAGAACCTACTGGCCACCTAGCATAGCCCCCACGTTCTGGGCCATGAGGGGAATAACCCAGGACGGGTTGAGGGCCTTCAGAGGAACTTATGGGCCTGCTGTCCAAGCCGATGGGGGAATTCCCGTGATCGGGCAGAGGAGCAGAGGGCCAGGGGTCATATTCATGGCGAAGGCCATCATTGGGGTAACGTTGACCCGGCCTTCCTCTGAGCCTCTTTCTGTGGGCATGACGGAGGTGAGAAGGTCTCCTGGAATAGAAGGAGCCCCGGTATGAGCCGTTGGTCCACAGGGTGGGGATCTGCTGGGGAGAGGCAGGGTCCACGCTCCTCCAGGGAGAAGAAGGCCGCTGACTCTCGACTTTGGGAATGCCTGAAAACGAAGAAGATGGGAGGAATAGCAGGAATAGCTAAGGTGAAGTTAAAGATCTCCCTTTCCCGGCTGTATCCGCCTCTAGGGGGCGCCGCTTCATCTCCCTGTCTTACCCAAGGGAGGCAGCGTTGTCTGAGGATTCTTCTGGGGTCATGTTGGCCAGCATGATTTACAGGTAGTCCTCGGCTTATGACCGTTCATTTAGGGACCGTTCCCAAGTTACTACGGCAGCAAAAAACCCCGTTTTTCACACTTACGACAGCGGCAGCACCCCCCGGGGTCACGTGATTAATATTCAGAGGATTGACAACCGACTCATATTTACAACGATCGCGGGTGTTTGGCGACAAGTCANAAGCAGGAGATCCTCTACCATTTTAGGTCAGAGAATAAGAGAGTTGGAAGGGACCTTAGAGGTCTTCTAGTCCAACCCCTTGCTCAAGCAGGAGACCTACTATTTTAGCTCAGAGAATAACAGAGTTGGAAGGGACCTTGGAGGTCTTCTAGTCCAACCCCTTGCTCAGGAAGGAGACCCTACACCGTTCCAGACAAGTCGCCATCCAGCCTCTTTCCGAAAGAGATGGTGATGGATGGAGCCCCCACAATTTCTGGTGGCAATTTCTGTCCCACTGGTTAATTGTCCACGAACCCTCCGGCTTCCCTTTGCCAGCTGCCCTCCCACTTCTGCAAAGTGCCAACGCATCCTATGCCTCATTTCGCTTGCGAGCGCCCATTGCGCCCCCTGCTGGCCGATACGACGTCAAAGGCCCACTTCTGTCGTCGTCTGCGGCGCCCCCTATCGTCCAGCACAGAAATCAAGCTCTGATAGCAGATCATGTCCCTCAAAACCTCCTTGTCCAGTTATACAATAATACAATACAAATGCTGGCTGGGGAATTCTGGGAGTTGAAGTCCAGACATCTTCAACTTGCCAAGGTTGAGAAACACTGCTAGGGGATCAATGACCCTGGGACACCGCAACGGTGGTAAATATGAGTCAGTTGCCCAGTGTCTGAATTTCGATCAGGTGACCACAGGAAATGCCATAACAGTGGGCTGAAAAATAGCAGAAATCACTTTTTCCTAGTGATTTTTCCCATTGTTAACTTCCAACGGTCCCTAAATAAATAGAATATTTTATTGTGATTAGACACACAAGGAATTTGTCTCCGTTACACAATGGTTGTTGAGCCCAGGATTTCTTGTATCCTGACTCTTTAAGAGAGGGAAAAATCCTGATTTTTCCCAAACTTTTCATCTCTCTGGGAGAAATAGCCAGAAGTGATAAAACTTTCTTAACGACGTCAGAATTCGAATGGCAAAAACCAAACCAATTCCTTACAATCCCACGCATTTTTTAAAAATCTTACGTGTTTCATGAAAAGGCAGGCGCTTTTCGTGAATCTCTGATTTTATCCCCTTTTTATTTTTCCATTCTTTATTTTCAATTCCCGCTTCGCTTTGACCTCAATGCAGGTGGAAATCACCGTTGTGACTTGTGAGATCTGACGCACAACCTGGTTGGGAGAATAATTGAGCTCCGAAGGACGTCGAAACAGAAAAGTACATTTGATAAGTCGGCAAATTGTCGACGTTGTGAAGTTAACAATTGGTTGCATTTTTTGCAATCTAATTTTCCACTCTACCGAACGTCCTTGAACCATTTCAGCTGCTAGGAGATCCAGAAACAGCAGAGATCTAGCAGGATTGCAGATTCCACACCCGATTTTAAAACCAGGGATTTAAAATCTTGGATGCTGGAAATCTAAGGTCCCCTTTGTTGGATGTTTAAAAAGCCTTTGATCTGTTCCCCCTTCCCCACTTTTGCATCTCACAGACCTCACATCAAAGAATAGGGATCCCCCCCCTCAGGATAAGGAAGACGCCAGATTCCCTCAATAGATTCCCCCCCCCCCCCGGGGAGGGATCTTCTGAATTTCACACAGCAACAAAGCCGCTTCATCTTTAACAGAATTGGAGGTCATCTAGTCCAGCCGTCACCAACGGATGGTGCGTGAGAAAATGTTGGGGATCCGCAGAAAAATTATTTGCATTTTTAAAAATTGCACTAAATACTATTTCTCGTTTTTTAAAAAATTCATATTAGCGGTCGGCGGGATTTAAAATTATGAATTTAGTGGTCCCTGAGTTCCGAAAGGTTCGTGATCCCTCTTCTAGTCCAACCCCCTGATCAAGCAGGAGACCCTCTACTATTTTAGGTCAGAGAATAAGAGAGTTGGAAGGGACCTTAGAGGTCTTCTAGTCTAACCCCTTGCTCAAGCAGGAGACCCTCTACTATTTTAGGTCAGAGAATAAGAGAGTTGGAAGGGACCTTAGAGGTCTTCTAGTCTAACCCCTTGCTCAAGCAGGAGACCCTCTACTATTTTAGCTCAGAGAATAAGAGAGTTGGAAGGGACCTTAGAGGTCTTCTAGTCCAACCCCTTGCTCAAGCAGGAGATCCTCTACCATTTTAGGTCAGAGAATAAGAGAGTTGGAAGGGACCTTAGAGGTCTTCTAGTCCAACCCCTTGCTCAAGCAGGAGACCTACTATTTTAGCTCAGAGAATAACAGAGTTGGAAGGGACCTTGGAGGTCTTCTAGTCCAACCCCCTGCCTAGGCAGGAAACCCTATACCGTTTCAGACAAATGGCTATCCAACATCTTCTTAAAGACTTCCAGTGTTGGGGCATTCACAACTTCTGGAGGCAACTTCTGTGCCACTGATTAATTGTTCTAACTGTCAGGAAATTCCTCCTTAGTTCTAAGTTGCTTCCCTCCTTGATTAGTTTCCACCCATTGCTTCTTGTCCTCTTCCCTCAGGTGCTTTGGAGGATAGCTTGATTCCCTCTTCTTTGGGGAAGCCCCTGAGATATCGGAAGATGCTATCATGTCTCCCCTAGTCCTTCTTTCTATTAAACTAGACATAACTCAGTTCCTGCAACTGTTCTTCATATGTTTTAGTCTCCAGTCCCCTAATCCTCTTTGTTGCTCTTCTCTGCACTCTTTCCAGAGTCTCAGCATCTTTTTTAAAAAATTGGATGCAATTATTTCAAATGTGGGCTTAGGGAGGCTTTATAAAACAGCATTAAGCCTTCACGTGATTTTGATTCTATGCCTCTTCAGGAAGTTAGCAGCGTCTAACCCTCTCCTAGGAGAATGGAATATTCTAGGAAATATGGCAATGTTATTTTAATATTAAAAAGGCAGAATGTTATTCTTTTTCCCTGGAGGAGAAATGGGGGAGCAGAGCCTCCCTCTGAATAGCCCCCCCTCGCCCTCCTCAACAGCCCACCAGCAGGTGCCCCCACCCCAAGAGAGAAAGAGAGAGCTGGGTCTATTCATAGGCAAACGCCCCCAGCCAGGATCAGCCCTCCAGCCCCAGGACTCACCACCCAGCAAGGCTCAGCCAAGGACTCCAAAGGCCATGGACCCAGTAGTTACCCCTGCACGGCCCCATGGGAGCCTAACAGCCAATCAGAAGGCACACTCAGATTCAAAAGCCCAGCAGAGGGTGTCAATCAGGGGTGGGGTGGGGTTCAAATTGTCTTACTGCCCTTTCTATGGGCGTGGCAGGGGGAGGATCCTGCAAAACCTCCATTCCCTCCCCCTCTCTCTCCCCATCCCTCCCTCTCCCTCCCTCTCTTTCCCTTCCTCCAGCTTTCCCTCTCTCCTTCCCTCTCCCTCCCTCTCTTGCCCTCCCCCTCTCTCCCTTCCTTCAGCTTTTCCTCCCTCTCCCTCTCTCCATCCCTCTGTCCCTCTCCCTCCCTCTCTCCCTTCCTCCAGCCTTCCCTCCCTCCCTCTCCGTCTCTCCCTCCCTTCCTCTCTTTCTCTCCATCCATCCCTCTTCCCCTCTCTCCCCTCTCTTCCTGCCTTCCTCTCTCTCCCCCTTGCTCCCTCCCTCTCTCCCTCCCCTGACTCCCTCTCACCCTCTTTCCCTTCCTCCAGCTTTCCCTCTCTCTCTCCCTCTCCCTCCCTCTTTTGCCCTGCCCCCTTCCACCCCTTCTCTCTCTCCCTCCCTCTCTTGCCCTCCCCCTCTCTCCCTTCCTTCAGCTTTTCCTCCCTCTCCCTCTCCATCCCTCTGTCCCTCTCCCTTCCTCCAGCGTTCCCTCCCTCCTTCTCCCTCTCCCCACCGTCTCTCCCTCCCTTCCTCTCTCTCTCTCTCTCCATCCCTCCCTCTTCCTCCCTCTCGCATCTCTCTTCCTCCCTCCCTCTCTCCCCCTCTTCCTCTCTCTCCCCCTCCCTCCCTCTCGCCCTCCCCCCCCATGTGCTCTTATTTTGCCCAGGACCTCAAAACCACGTGGCCCTGTCCACCATTAAAACCGTCTTTCCAAGCAGCCTCCATGTTTCCAGTGTCTTTTCCCCCACTTGGAGCTGAACCCAAATGGGCATCTCTTCCAACACCTCTCTTAATGCAGCCTAGGGTGGCATTGGCTTTTTTTGGCAGTTTGCCCCACATGGCTGGCTCCTATTTAAGCCATTGTCCACCAGGCCTCCAAGATCCCTCTCCCAGTTACCGGCATTAAGCCAGGTTTCACTTATTCTGTACCAACTCAGTTGGTTTTTCTTAAAAGGTAAAAGTTCCCCTCGTTCCCGACTCTAGGGGGCGGTGCTCATCTCCGTTTCAAAGCCGAAGAGCCAGCGCTGTCCAAAGACATCTCTGTGGTCATGTGGCCGGCATGATTCAACGCCAAAGGCGCACAGAACGCTCTTCCCTTCCCACCAAAGGTGGTTCCTGTTTTTCTACTTTCATTTTTAACGTGCTTTCGAACTGCTCGGTTGGCAGAAGCTGGGACAAGTCAAGGGGGCTCACTCCATTACGTTGCGCTAGGGATTCGAACCGCCGAACTGCCGACTTTTCTGATCGACAAGCTCAGCGTCTTGGCCACTGAGCCCCCACTCTGTTTTTTCTTACCTAGGTGTAAAAACTTCACTTTTCTCTACCCTGAATTTAATTGTGTTAGATTTGCAAAGGAAGGATGCACTAAAAACAGCACATACACATATCATACACCCCGGAGCTTATATGTTGACTGGGGGATTCTGGGAATTGGGTTTGGTTTTATTGGACTTATATGCCGCCCTTCTCCTAAGGTGGGCTAAAAGACCTAATTATGGCTAACAGTTCTATAGTCCATGTTTGATATCAAATACTCTGATCAAAGTTGAGGTTTTGCACCATTAAGCAGAAAACAATTGCTGATAGTTGCTGAAGTGGCAGTAAATATTTTTACACATCTGGGAACAAGTAGACCCAGACAGGGAGTTTCCTGTTATCTTACAAGATGTGTCCTGTTTTTGTCACGCATGATCTATA